GGACCAAAATTTTTTTGGGGCCAAAAAAATAGTCCTCACAAGATTGGCCAAATTTTTTTTCGAGTAACTGGAACCAATAAACTTTCATCGGAAAAAAGTTGCGTCTGGACATAAGCTACATGATAGAAATCTAACTTTCTATTTTTGAAAACCACAGAATTTTTTTTAAATCTAAAACAAAACCCGTCTCATAACTAGACCATCTCCCTTATTTATAATCAATAATAATAATTAGTTCGGGTGCAGGATTTATCTCACTTTTACAATAACTTGATGAAAAATCTTGAAATCCATCACGCTTTAAAAAATTGAAACGCCACTGTATGAAGCTTCTCTTCTGCATGCAACTGATCTTCTGCATTGCTGATTTTGCGTACACTTTGCTAAGTTTGACTTTTATTCCAAAGGTTCTTTTTATTCCAAAGGATCAAATTGAAGTTTTTAATAATTTTATTGAATCATTACGTTTTTTAATATTCATAATATTTTAATTATTTAAATTCTGTTTTTTTGAATTTACAGTGGTTCTCACACCGTCCTTGGTACATGCATTTTCAGGAATTTTTCCTTCTGTATCAATGGGGTGTTGATGCATGTGAGCTTGCACTAAATTCCACTGTTGTAAAGAATATTTTAAATAAAAAGAGCAAGTATGATGTTATTTTGTTGGAACAATTCAATAACGACTGCATGATGGCTGTAGCATGGAAACTAAAAGCACCGGTCATAGGATTGAGTAGTTGTGTGTTGATGCCATGGCATTACGATCGTCTTGGAAATCCTTTAATTCCATCTTATGTGCCTGGGCTCTTTGTTGGCTCTTCGGATAAGATGGACTTTTTGGAGCGATTGAATAACTGGTTTGCTGTCAATGGACTGAAACTCATGTACCAGTAAGTACTTAATAATAATAATATAAATAACTGCAACAACGAATGAAATCAAATGACATGAATTCAAGGTACATAACGATGAGTGAAACTGAGAAAATTATTCAAAAGCACTTCAAGAACGAAGATATTCCACCAATTAGTGAACTCGCCAAAAAAACGAGTCTCATGTTCGTTAACAGCCATTATTCATTCAGCGGATCAAGGCCAAATGCACCAACTGTTGTGGAACTAGGTGGAGTTCATATAAAAGAAGAAAAACCTTTGGATCCAGAAATAAAAGCGTTACTGGACTCGTCAGCTGATGGTGTAATTTACGTTTCTTGGGGTTCCATGATAAGGGCTGAAACGTTACCGCACGAAAAACGAAATGAGCTTCTGAAGGCATTTGGCGCTTTCGAACAGAAGATTTTATGGAAATGGGAAAATGAAACGCTTCCTGACCAGCCCAAAAACGTATATATCCGTTCCTGGATGCCACAGAGAGAGATTCTATGTAATAATAAACCTTATTGATGACCCCATAAAACACAAAGCTATAAGTAAAACTCTGATAATAATGTTAATAGTACAATTGTTTCTTTAAGGTCATCCCAACGTGCTTGTATTTGTAAGGTAAATGCATCAATCTTTTGTTCCATATCTACATGGAATTAAGCCACATACGGCTCCAAAAATATATGGGCCGAGGCAAACGATTAACTAACCCTCTCCTATACCTAAAATGACTGATTCAAGATATATTTATTATGAAGTGAACAGTTCTGGTTGCATTATGTTAATCGATCAGACAGCACAATATTATAAAGCGAGTTTGTCGCTAAAATGTTGCATAATTTAAGATCGTTTGTAAGAACACTACCAAAAGTAAAGGATTAAATTATTGCCATCACATGTGATTGACCAATTTTTAAATTATTTTACACTATTTAGTTTGCAACAAATGTAATCATAAATCTCCGATTTCTTCCCCCGGGACTTGAGTAGTATATTATCATTTTTAACACACATTTTTTAGTAATCGTGGTTTTAATTTGCGCGGTTACTTACAAATTTGTGTTAAAATGTGCCAATAGTAGAGTAAGATTTTGGACTGATTTGTTCTTATATACGAATTCATGTTTTTCAGTCATGGTGGATTAATGGGAAGCAGTGAAGCAGCTTATTGTGGTGTCCCAATGGTCCTTACGCCAATGTATGGTGATCAATTTCAAAATTCGGCTGCAGCTGTGTCACGCGGCATGGGTTTTATCGTACATTACGAACACATTACCGAAGAAGCTTTTAAAACAGCCATATCTAATGCCTTAACAACGGAAGCAATGCAAAGTGCGAAAAAAGTATCATATTCGTATCGAAATCGTCTTAAGAATCCACTAGAAACGGCAATTTGGTGGGTTGAATATGTTGCAGCTACGCGCGGAGCTCCTTTATTGAAATCGCATTCTACAGATTTGTCGATTTTGGCGTATTATTCGTTTGACATTTATATCGTTATTTTCTTCATTTTATTAGTGATAATTACCTTTTACGCCTGCATTCTGCGATTCACTTTCAAAAAGATTTTCGTTAGAGTGACCAAATCAAAAACTGATTAAAAACGACATTTGAAAAAAATTCATTCAAAGTTTTATCGCCAACATCAGTATAAGTCGGAAATTAATTTTTGTTCAGTTTTCAGCACATGAACTGGTGCCGCAAAGTCATTATTATAAT